AAAAGAGCAAATGAATCTAAATCAACTCTCGCGTCAGTTGCCAAAAACTGTGAACGGTTTTGGTTTGCATATCAAACACAATTTGATTGGTGGATTAAATATGCCCGAAAAAAAAATATCTATAAAAAAACATAAATATTGAAAAATGCTGCATATTAAATAGCAACCGAGTACATTTATCAGGCTCGTGGCTTACGGTTTGTAAACGGGACGGGTTTGGGGATGAATATATATCAACTAAACCCTAAACCCTAAAACCCTTGTCCGAAAAGAAAACAAGAGTAAACACAAGACACTGAGAGAAGGCTAATAATATGTATCTACAAATGGACGCAGTTTACAAACTGCTATTTATGCTCATCTTCTCATCAATTCTCTTGTTGTTGTTTTTAAAAAAGGAACAGCATCAAGGATTTTACAGGAGTGTATTTACTTCCTGTAAAATCTATAACTTTACAGTCACTGCCCAGTTATTCCGTTCACAAGACTCTCTTCCTTTGTAGACCACGTTATAAGAGCGAGGGAACAGAAGCTTCAGAAGATCCTACATACCATCTGTCCTCCTCACGTCCCTCCCACCACTCCCATTTTTCATCTATTCACCTGAAGGCCCACAGATCACTAATTAGTGATGGTCTGATGGAAAAATGAAAAAGTATTCATTCGTTTAGAAACGTAGAAAATGATCTATTCATAAAAATCTAAATTGTTGAGAAATTTGTTTGTTGAATTTAGGCATAGCCTTCTAAATTAGATAATTAGACACTGTCTATTTTAGAAGGCTGTGATTTAGGTGTAGTATTATATTATTTCGGTCGTACATACGACCGAGGTCATACTCTTCAATAATATATTTTGCTCTACAGAGTACAAACTCGACAGCGGCCTGCCATTGGTCTTGACTTTTAGAGTGCTTGAGATTAGAGATAGTACAAATTTTAAAATTACCATCCGTAGACCGTAGGTCATAATATTTGATTTTTCTAGAGACTCCATGAGTCCACGCCGAATCCATGGTGGTGAAAATCCTTGACTTTGCTTGGGATGGTCATACGCCAGAACGTAATTTACTAATTTAGCTAGGGGTATACGACTTTGTGTGATCCGCGTTGTTTTAATGTTTTCTGGCTGGATACGGGATTCAATTGGACATCGTAAATTCAGTTGGATATCCCGTTCAAGGAATTTTTACAAATACTGGGTCGTACATACTATCATACATCGATGTACAGTTGAACACGCAGAATATCGATATTTTACCTTGAAGTCACCAATCACTATCAGAGCTGTGTTCTAACGAGCTCTCCACAAGAGTTGGTATTTACGATGAAAAAGTACAAACATTGTCAACAAGTTGTTGTCATTCGTTATTTACAACAAATAGAAAAAATATGCAACTGGTGTCTGGGAGTTGCGAGTTGGGAGTGATGGGACTGGTTGCCTATATCCTCTACAAAATATTTTTTTTACAACACAGCCAATACATACTTTATTGTCGGTAGACTGACGTAGTGTGTACATATGTAAATAGACTATATCTATATCCAAATATCTATTCTTCTTCATATCTTTATATCTATATATCTATAACTATATAACTATAT